TCTCTAGGAATCCATCTTTCTTTGGCTTCCTCGAGCTGCTACGGAACCGGTTGCTCGTTTAGTTGTGCTTCAAGCTTGGCAGGCAGTCATTTATTTTCTGTGGTCTGAGAGAAACCAGCGTCTGCACAACAGTGTCACTCAAGATCCACCTCGCCTGATTCCTTGAATTATCTCTTGTCGTAGAGATAAATGTGCTGCAATGATTGCTCTTGGTCTCCCATCTGGTCCCCAACTTGCCTCTTTCTGGTATAATCCACCATAACTACCCACCTTATCTCTTTCCTTCCTGATCGGGTTGTGATTTTTCTCCTCTGATCTTCCATTCCCATTTTATGTCGTGTGATCTGGGTTTATTTGCTTCTTGTACCCCTTTACTACTTTGTAATGTCTTATTAATGAAAGCCCTTTATGAAAAAAATGAACAACTTCACGGATAATGTTTTACGATGAAGTTCTTCATGCAACATTTGGATCGACAAACGGTTATGCATGTACAACATCCTTGATAGACAAGCTCTCCACAGTAGACAACCATAATGAACGGCTCTGCCTGCAATACTCTGAAACCTCCGATAAACTTTACATCCTATAATCTACAAGAAATTGCAACTAGGATTAGAACCTCCACACTTGGGTGTTGAGGCTTTAAACTTTAACCCATAGGCTGCGGTGATTCCACATATTACAGATAATTCTATGGCTAACAATTCTACACGACTTATAAAGATTCATGTTTGACTGCATCAACCTGAACCATCCTATGAGATCCACACTTCACGATACTTCTTGCGCTATTCTGCAAATCTCTTATAAATATTTTCTCCATTAATATGCATAATTTTTCCATCTTTGAGATCCACAAGCTTTATAGTACTGTATAAAAACATTAATGAATCCTTAGTCAAACCACTATATTAAAGAGTTTCCACAAAGAAAGAGGATCTTTTGCAAGAACTATAAATACATTTTGACTACTGTTTCTGAATAGTTAAAAAGATTTTTTTTCCAACCAGTATGCATTATGCAGTTTTAAATTTGGATGGCAACAAATTAAGAACACTATTACACAACAGTTAATTATATATTTTGATCAAACTAAATTTAATACTTTTTTTTTTGGAATGAATGTTAAATTTATTCATCAAAAAAACCTTATTACATCAAGTGTAAACCTGTTTTTCAAAAAATAAATAGCTATCCAAACTCTAAAAGCTTTTTACAATCTTGTACTAAACCAGAATTGTAGAATATTCTCCATGCCTTTTCTACTCATTCTCATTATACTCAACTTGTTTCTGATCCCCTTGTCAATCATTCTCATCAAAGCAGCAATAGGAAGAGGCTTCTCCCCATGTTTAATTCTCATCAAAGCAGCAATAGGAAGAGGCTTCTCCCCATGTTTAATTCTCTTCCTCTCACGCCATATTGAATGAATCACTGCCTGAAAAGTATATCTGAAACATAACATCTTCTTCTTCTCCATACTCTCATCTAAAAGCATATCAACAATTACAGACCAGTCAGTAGTGTGGTTGCTTAAGAGGATACCTTTAACAAGATGATCCCAAATCTGTGTTGAGTAGGAGCAGGTAAAGAACAGATGATTTCTAGTTTCCAGGCCATTTTTGCAAAGCACACAAGTCTCATCAACTCCCTGACTCCATTGAGAAACTTTATCCATGGTAGATAATCTATTTCTCATTGCTAGCCAAGTCACAAAAGAGAACTTTGGTGTGGCCTGAGAAAACCAAACTGCCCGTGACCAGTCACAACTCACCAAAGAAGGCTTCCACATGATCCGAGTATCTGCAGTTGGAAAATTCGATTTGAAGCCTGTTCTCCTTCTCCACATGTTTTTATCTTCCACCCCTTCTGAAAGTCTCTCTTTTTCATGACCAAGCTCTTTTTCAATGTCGATGAGAAGAGAAACCCGGTGTCTTCTTCTTCTTCGACCACATATAGCTTCATAAACCGTAGCATTCTTACTAATGCCCATATCCAGAATTGCTCTATCTCCCAGTAAATCTATTAAGACTCCTCTTTCAGACCAGTTGTCAAACCAAAAGGAGGTGTGTCTTCCGTTTCCCAACACCTTCTTATGAAACTTCTTGACCACTTGCCTCATCTTTAACATCTTTCTCCACATCCATGATCCTACTTGTGTTTTCTCCTTGATCTCCCAGAAGCTCTTTTGTTTTAATAAATTTCCTTCAACCCATTTCCCCCACAACGACGATCCCGAGAGCATCCTCCAAATCAACTTCAATACATAAACAGTATTGATATCTTTAATTGCTCTTATGCCCAACCCTCCTTCTTTCTTATCTTGACAAACAACATTCCAAGCTACTTTAGCACCTGTAGTTCTCAATTCAGGACCTGTCCAAAGGAAAGCGGAACTGAACGCATTTACTAGGGAGTCTGAAAACAGAAGCCCAAAAATTAACAATGCTCATCAACTCAGATTGTATCAACTGAAGTCTTCCCGCGTAGGAGAGAAAACGACTAGTCCAAGAATTGATCCTGCTTCGAGTTCTCTCAACCAGAGGAGTGTAATCAGTGTTTGACAAGTTTGCTGAGTGGTCAGGTTTGGTTATAAGTATAGAGAAGTCTACTCTTTTCGTGGCTGGTGTTAAGAGTGATGAAGAAAGAAGAATTCTGACGGATTTCCCATTTGCTAAAGGGGAGTTTCCTGTTCGTTATTTAGGTCTTCCGTTGATGACCAAAGCTATGAGCAAACTAAATTTAATACTTGCATATAATTCAACAGTATTTCCATATAAAATATTTGTTGAGCATTTTTTTTTTATAAAAAAAAAGGTTCAGTAGATTTCTTATATTTTGTGTGTTTATTAGATTTACTACTATAATTTTAGTAAATAATAAAATGACAAAATGATGTAAAAATACACGTCTGCTTTACCATACCTCCAATTTTGCATTTCTCCTATATGGTTCTTTTATGTATGAAACTGTTAGCCTTTTTCTTATATATCAGTTGATTATGCAAATGGATATAATTTCTCAACTATCAATTGACCAAAGTTAGGGTTTAAATTATTTCTCTGCTACCACCCGCAGATGCAGTTTTTACGGTTGGTAGCGATTATTGGTGGTTTACAACAATCACAAAAAGATATAGATTTTCTCAAACCGCTCTAAACCTCTTAATAGTAAAAGGTAATTTCCCCTAGCTTTTATGGTTGCAGATGAATAATGAAAGTAAAAATATTTTCTAACAATATTTTAAAATTCTAAATTAAAATTTAAATATTATAAATAAAATATATAATCATTTTATAATTGAATTGATATCCACAAAGAGTGTCATAATTTATTTTATAAAAATTTAAACAATGAATATTCACAATAACTTTAAACCGTGAATATACTTTTGTTTTTTGAATGAGAGTTGTGGATCATTTCTCGATTTGTGCGTGTCATTCTTGCACAATGACCATGTTAATCTTTTTTGTATTGTTCCAATTTTATCTGATGTCCCTAAAGGGACCAACCGTAAATATTCACAACAACTTTAAACATTAATATATATATATACACATACAAAAAAAAAAATTTAAGAACATTTATAATATAAATCTTGAAAACAAAATTTTATGGAAATTATAACTTTCGCCTAAAATAAAAATTTAAATAAATAGACATAATATTATTGTTAATTATATTATATTGACTATTATTATATTTTATCATAATAGTTTGTTTTGATATTTTTATTATGCTATAATGTATTAATATTGATAATTTATTTTAATATGGTGCAGTATCTTATAATCTATCAATTATAAATATTCCATAAATGCATCAATTTTAATCGATGTATATAATTCGCTTAATAGTACTACAAATCGTTCCCACCCATATCCACAAACTCCACCAATAGCTGCGCTTCAACTACCTTAATGTAAGACAACTTGATTATAATATATTTATATGTAACTTAAATAACGTTTTATATAGGCAAATGGACATGTAAACTCAAAAGCAATGGGAATCACTTCACATCGCACCAATGTGGTGGTGGAATTTCACGGCTCTTTTGTGCAATCACGTGGTCGAATTAATGGTTTAAGCATTTAGCAACTGATCAGGATATAAAATAACAGACGCACGAATAGATAGACCGATAAATTTTCTGTCGAACCAGTAAAAGCTTAATTTGTAAACAATCAACCCAAATATTTCATCATCAAAAAGCAAGTAAAAGCTATATTTTCTGACAAATATTTTTTTCGAAACATATATATATATATATATATATATATATATATATATATATATATATATATTACAAAATTGTGATTCAGATCCGTTAGTTTTCAATTTTGACGTATATGTGGCGTGTGTTTTTTTTTCTGAAAGCATATGGGACGTTATCTTCTTATTAAAAAAATCGACACGACTTGGTCCAAAGTCCATTTCACAAGTTGCTCGGCGCATCTGGTGTTAGTTAGCCACCGAACTAGAAAGAGTCTTTGATACTTTTGCAAACCAACCAAGACTTCAATAAGAGTTTCATCTTATTTTTTCGTTATACTATATGTAATTATATTGAGACATGAACTGAAGTGGTGTTCCAAAAAAAAAGGAATAATACTTTACTTTTAGATTTAGATTCAATTATTAATCAATTGTATTTTAAATTTCAAAGTTTAGGCACGAAATTTGTTTTAGTTTTTTCAGAAGAAAAAAAAACAATTCAGACCTCCCGTTTGAAACTAAATTAAACCAATATATATATATATATATATATATATATATATATATATGTATATCTACTAAAAACTTATGGATCAATACATTTCTAAATCAAGAATGGGTCTTCTTAGTCTAAAAAAAAGATGGGTCTTCTATCATTGAAAAAGAAAGTAGACCCTAGAATAAGTAAACCTATATGATACAAAAAACAATAAACTCCACTAAAAATGTCAAAACGTTGACTAACTAAAATATGTAACCAAGTCTTCCTCCACTACATGATCATTCTCTATATATGACATGAAAACCAAAACCCCTTCTCTCACACACACAAGAAAGAACAAATATGAAGAAACAAGTTAATGTGTGGCTATGTCTCTTCCTTTTCTTCCTCTCAATATCATCTTTTCTCCAAGAAACTGAAGCTCGAAAATACTCCTATGGACGCGCGCCGATCACGAGGTTAGTCTCAAGATCTCTTTACGACAGAATCTTCATCCACAAGGAAAACAACGCATGCCCTGCAAAAGGTTTCTACCCCTACGAAGCCTTCGTGGAGGCTACAAGGTGGTTCCCGAGGTTCGGGAGCGTAGGAGGTATGACGACAAGGCGGCGCGAAGTGGCTGCGTTTTTGGCGCAGATATCTCACGAGACGACTGGTGGCTGGGCCACGGCACCGGATGGACCGTATGCGTGGGGGTTGTGTTTTAAAGAGGAAGTGAGTCCACAGAGTAATTATTGTGATGCTTCAAATAAGGAGTGGCCTTGTTTCCCTGGCAAATCTTATAAAGGAAGAGGTCCCATCCAACTTTCTTGGTACGTCTACAATATTAATTACTACCCAATAGCCATTTCTACATATTTGGTTTCTCAACTAAAATATTAAAAATTGGTTTCTACATATTCGATTTTTACGATTGATATAAGATTAAAAATAATTTAAAGATTATTTTAGGGATCGTATGATTTTAAAATAGTTTTAATAGTACAAAAATTTATATTATATCCTTCTGTCAATTATTAAAATATTTTTAACTAGTATAAAATTTTATGTTGAATGAATTTCAAAACTTTTAGTTTTTTTTTGAGTAAAGGCATTATAACATAACTTTAAGTTAAATTTAGAGGTCTTCATAAATGGTGGCTACTTTTAGTATATATACGCCACATACTCTTTTACATTTATGATAAATCTTGAAGAATCAAAATTAAGATTCTAATTTTAGAAAAAATGCAAATGATAAAGAGTATGCACTGATAGAACATAGTACAGTTCTATCGTTCTGAAATTACCAATTTAATCATTTTAATAACTTTATGTTTTCCTCATTTTATTAACAAATTTGTTATCCATATATCAAATATCAATCTTAGCTTTTAGTTTATTATACACCAATTTCTTTTTATAGGAATTACAATTACGGTCAGGCAGGTCGAGCATTGGGTTTCGACGGTTTACAAAACCCGGAAAGTGTAGCTAACAACTCAGTTTTAGCATTCAAGACAGCTCTTTGGTTTTGGATGACCGAACAAACTCCTAAACCGTCTTGCCATGACGTCATGGTCAACCGGTACAGACCGACTAAAGCAGATATAGCGGCCAACCGGACCAGTGGTTTTGGTTTGACCACCAACATCATAAACGGCGGGTTAGAATGCGGGATTCCAGGAGATGGACGGGTCAATGATCGGGTTGGGTATTTCCAAAGATATGCTAAGTTGTTTAATGTCAACACAGGACCTTACTTAGACTGCGAGAACCAGAGACCCTTCTCCTAGAAGGCTATCATTGCAACTCTCTTTGTAACCTATAATATAAACGATACAATCTATGTATCAATGGAACTGAAGTTAAAATCATATTAATAAAACTCCTTAAGCTATGAGTGGGAAATCTGAATGTAGGGTTGGACATTTTATTCGTTAAATTTGATTCGATTTGTTATTCGTTTCGACTCGATTCGAACATTCTGAATATCCGTAAACTTTCGAAGCAAAGCAAATGCTAAAACTCAATATCCGTTAAAGTCAAAGCAAATCACAAATACTAAAATTTTGGGAAGCGGATATCTGATCCAATCCGGCAATATATAAATACATATATATATATATATATATATATATATATCTTAATTATATTTAAAGTTTTAAATGTATAAAATTTTATAATTATCATTCTAATATATGGTTTGACAATTTTTATTCACATTATTACTTATATAAAAGTATTACATAAAAAGAAGAGAAAACATTTATGACAATTATAATTTTTTTTCTTAAGTTTTGTGCTATTATAATTGTTAACTAAGTTTAAAAAATTTACAGAATATGTAGATTCACTACTATCTTTTATTTTTTATTTTTTATATCATGCAAAAAAATATTTTACAAAACAAATTTGTATCAAAATTTTAAGATTATTTATCTTAATCCAAACATATGAGATATCCGTAAGTATTTGTAAATATCCGCAAATATCTGTTTATTTTCCGGATATCCGTTTTCCGAATATCCGTATTTTACCGAAGCAAAGCAAATCAAAAAATTAGATATCCGTGACATACGAAGCAAATCACAAATACTTTCAAAAACTCGGATATCCGATCTGTGCTCAGACCTATCTGAATGTTTTACATCATTTAGTTGTAAGCGTACCATGCCTAATGGCGGATGTAGAGCCAACAAGGGAGGGACATCTGCTATTTTGTTTACTATTTATAATGGATTTTAGAGAAATTGGTTAAGTTTAATTCGAAAACTTAAAATTTAATGCCCATTTTCTTCTTTTTTTTTATCATAGAGTATTTTCTTTCCCTTTTCTAAAACTTTTACATGGTCTTTATTTTCTTTTAGTTTTCATTTTTTTTAGAAAATTCTATTATATTTTTAATATTGAACTAAAGCTTGACATGTGCCTCCGCGAGAGATTAGTTTTTATCTTTTTATAAATTATTTTAAATATTTTTAAGTTTCTACAAACCTATCCGGACCTGGAAGAATCCAATTCGAATCATGTCCAAAAATTTATATAACCGAACATAGTTTCATTTTAAAATCCAAAAAATCTGGTACCTGCAAAAACTATATGTATCCGAATATGGCTAGGCAAATAAACCGAACCCGAAAATCCGAACCCGATGTAAATATCGAATGGATCAGTTTTATGGTATTTCGGGTTATGAATATTATCCAAACCCAAACCCAAACCAAAAAAACCCAAAACATTCAAAATCTCAAAAAAAGAACTCGTACCAAACATGATTTTAATTCCTAATATTATCCAAACTACTTTAAGATATTATTGAACATTGAAAATCTAAAATAACTATTTTTTATTTGAAAATTGATGGTTGTAGATGGTTGTTGAAGCTTGAAGGTTTTAGGTTTTGGCTTTATTTTCACTGAATAATGTTGTTCATTTCATTAGAACTTGATTTTCGCGTTATGTCTTTATTTATTTGGTTTTATTTCTATCAGTAACTATGTTTGTCTTTCGTTTGATTTTGAATGATCATGTTTGATGTTTTTTTCTTATTTTTTGAATCAATTTTACTTATGTTTTGGTTACAAAATAGATAATTCATATGCTTTAAATTCGAAGAATCGATTTCACTTATGTTTTAGTTACAGTAAGTACAAATCAAGTATTTTTAAACTAGAGAACCGATTGGGACCCGAAACTGAAAGTACAATGGGTTATATCGGTTCTTTGAAAATTTATAACTAACCCCAACCCAAATTCGATAAAATCCGAATTGATCCCGAACCAAACTTTCATATAACCTGAATGGGGCTGATTTTGATAAATCCAAAGAACCGAAACCCGATTGGACCAAACCCGAAACCCGACTGGGACCCCAACGCTCAGGGGTATATCCGAATGTGTACTTAACTGCACATGTTTAATTGATTATGTAAACAAAAAAATAATTATTTGTTAACCGGTTTGAGTTTTTACTAATGGAACAATTTCATTGTGAAATTATTATCGCTAACACGTAAAATAAATGACGTCAAATTATTATGATAAATACTAATAATGAAATAGTTTGCATAGGTTAAAAGTTAATGTAAAAGATGTAATAAACACTTAAACTTTTTTATAATAAATGTTGTCAAATTATTTGGAAAGAAACAACTTATAAAAAAATTAAAATGAGTGAAATAAGTAAAGAAAATATGTAGTATATTTGTTGAAAACTAAAAGTAATTCTATTTTGTACTTCAATTTTAATAATATAGATAAATAAAATTTTGTACTCCATAATACGAATTTTGAGACCCCTCTCCATAACAAGAAGTTGTTAACGTAGTTGCCGCCCAATATGATCCCTTCATATCCCGATGACTTTAGAGACTTAGAGATGATTTAGTTCTGTTAAGGATACTTAAGTGTCCAACGAAAACCTACTGTCTTGCCCTTTGGTTTTGGCAGGCGCCTAAAATCGAAGGTTGAGTTGTTTTACAAATATATATCAAGAGGCAAGAGACAAGAGACGCACTGGTAAAATTTAACCGCATAGCCACTGAGATTTTGTGGCTATAGACTATAAAAACCGTGGCTATGTTGAAGAAGCCACGTTTCTATGTCGAAAATCTACCGTGGCTATAGCTTCGTGACTAATTGAAAACCGTGGTTTTTCGTGGCTTTTAAGCCACGGTTTTGCCACTATGCTTTCGTGGCTTATTAAGCCACGGTTATTTCTTTTTAGCGTGGCTTTATGGAAGCCACGTTCTTCGAATATAGTTTCGTGACTTTCGAAGCCACGTTTTAACGTCGCTTTTACATCGTGGCTCTAAGCCACGTTTTAGTTCGTGGCTTTTCTTGTTTAATACCCACGCAACAATTTGCCACGATTTTTGTTTTTGTTTTTGATTTTGGTTTTTGATATTGTTTTGTTTTTGTTTTGATTACCTAATTGATATAGATTTTAATTTTTAATTAAATCCTAAACACACACAAATTAAACAAAACATGAAATTAATTAATTGCATTAATAGAAAGTTGGTTTTACAAAAAGAGTTAATATTACAAACCTAATAATAATATGAAACAAAGAGTTGAGTTTTANCCTAAACACACACAAATTAAACAAAACATGAAATTAATTAATTGCATTAATAGAAAGTTGGTTTTACAAAAAGAGTTAATATTACAAACCTAATAATAATATGAAACAAAGAGTTGAGTTTTAAGAGACCAAAAGAGAGTTTATGGTACAAAAGACTTGTAGACCAAAAGAGAGTTATGGTCTTCAGACTTGAGTAGGATCTTACTGCTGAGGAGTTTGCTGCTGAGGAGTTTGTAGCTGAGGAGTGCCTTGTTGAGTGGATGCTTGTTGGGCTAGAAGAGTTTGGAGAAGCTGATTGACTGCAGCTCTTGTTGCTCTGCCATGTCCTCCTTCATCGTTGACATGTCTTCCTTCACTGCACCAACATCAGAAGTGACGCTTTGCAGGTTCGTCTCAAGGCCACCCACACGCATCTCAAGCTCCAGGTTACGGGCAAGAGAAGATGGGACTCTTGCAGACGGAGGATGTTTCCTATACTGGGCACTGCCGAGTCCATAAACATGCCCCCTCTTATTCTTAGCATTCTGAGATCAATGACAAAACAAATAATCACTATCACATAAGCATAAACTACAACAGTCTAAAATATTAAAAACATACAATTACTAATCACAAAACATAACCGACAGAAACAAATAATCACTATCACTGAAGCATAAAACTACTAATCACAAAACACAACCAACAGAATCATAACAGAAGCATAACACAAAGACAGAGATAAATAGTGACATACCTTCAGATAAGCTTGGTTTAGCAAGAGGCGAGAAGGAGCTGAAGTTTCTGATGGACTTTGAGGTGATCCTTCAGTGTTAGATAGCTGTGTGGCTTCCATCTCAGCTTGAGTAACCAATTCTTCAGCTCGATAGTCCACAAATGTCCCATCTTTGCGTGTGTGTGTCCTCCTCACAAGATCT